AGAGGGCTGTTGGGTTCTGTTGAATGTCAGTTTCCTCTAAACCAGGAGGAAGACCTGAGCTCCGGCTCTCAGGATGAAAGCTGCTGCTTTTGCAAGGCTGTTGTTTGTCCCCGTAGTTATAAGGAGGGAATGCTCCACCGTCTGGAACTTAATATGGCCAAAATGTCTCTACACGGGTTAGAATGTGGAGACTGGTGATCTGTGAGTGAATGTCGTGGTAATGCACTAGTGCTAAAGCAAAAAGAAAAAAAGTCTGATGAAGTGCTACTGAAGCGAAAGAAATAAGATTTAGGTTTGCCTAAGTTGGGGGAAGAGTGTGTGTGGGGGGGGGAGAACACTCAAAGACGAGCCTTTGGGAATGTTAGAGGAAATTGTATAGATATTTTTATATTATATTTAATATGTATATATACTATATTTGTACGCATATTAAAGAGAGTATAGTCAGCGTTCTCCATATGCCTTCCATTATTTTTATCTAGACGTTTACTTCCTGCGGCCATGGCTCCAGTGCTTCACCACCTTCTGCAGGCCACCTGCCTACTGCCAACCATCAACACCATCTAGACAGTAGATCCCAATTCAGCAAGATGCTGAAGAGTAACTCCACCAGCTTCATTGCTGCTGGGGTTACTGTTAGGCAGGGCAACCCCATTTTTGAGACTATTAGGAAACGCTGCTTTTAAAGCACTCTGGTAAGAGGGATCTGTTTATGCCACCAACCCACTGGTTTAGCCAAGAGAGTAGCCACAAAAACTGGCAAGTCAAGGCTGTTTGTTGCTCTGAAGTGCCATGCTCTTACCCTTCTTAGGCGGTCATCCTCCCATCATATTTGAGTAGCTTACTGAATGAGCAAAAGAGAAAGGATGTGTGCAAACTTTAAGCACTTTATTGAGGGGGGGGGCGATCTTATTTGAAATGCAGTTCATTACTTTAGGCATGAGGGGATCCCAAAGGTATCAGAATATTGCCTAAAAGAGGCATTGCTGGAAAATGTTTCTGGTTCTGGTAATTCTTGGAGGCTGTGATTCCAAGATTGTGTGGACACTGAAAATAGGTCGGCTTTGTAGGGAATGGATAAATGTACAACTAAGGGTTTTTTAAGAGCTGATTTTTAAAAAAATATTGCACAATTGTCAGAGAGATATCAACAGGAGGCTCGTTAGAGCCTTTTAAATGATTCTAAGTGGTCCTTAGGATTAAAATGTGTAGAGGGTTTACAGATGTGGCCTTTAGTAGACTGTTTCAGTCATAACTATAGAATAGTTAGTAATTCTAGAGGTAACACCAATTTGTGTGTGTGTGTGTGTGTTTAATGTCATGGTGTCATGTAATTTCAGCATGTGTGTGTTAACCTCCAGTTGTCTCCATTGGAAGTTGATCATTGAAATATGATGGGAAGGGAGAAGATTGGATTTAAAAGGGAGGAAAAACCCTCCCTCCAAGAAGCAGGGAGACTTTTGGGAAGAACTGAGGTCGAATGGTAAAAATTCACAGTACGTGAGACAAGGTTTGAGAGATCTTAAAAATTTGGTTGTTCACAAAGCTGGGTAGTTTGTCAGTATATATATTTTAACACTACATTCCTCTGTCTTTTAATAAACAAGTACTTTAAGTCTGTTTGCTATGCTTCAAGCTTTCTCATCTGCATAGGTATTGTTTAGAAGCATGATGGGCTTATATTGTGCAAAGATGTTGTACCTACTAGTAACACACATACACACACACAAAGCAAACAAAACACTGTGTATGAACAAAATAACTGTGTTGCCTGATATACAGATCCCAGCTCTGACAGGTGCTGCACTAGTAGACAATCAAAATTTATGGAAGACTTTTGGGGGAAGATGTTCTTAAAGATACAGCTGCTTTGAAAGTGTTTTTTATTCTTAAAAGTAAAAGGAGTATTTATTTTTTAAATTGTCTAATTGGATACTTTTCAGTGTTGACTTCACATTGTCTTGGTTTTGCATTTTTAAAATTTGGCATTAGATTTGTATATGTAGGAAAAAAAAACCTGTTCAACTTTCATTATCTGACTTCAGGAAAATGTAGATACGGTTCCCTAGTGTTCATGTGACCATTATCAAGTGTCAGTTTTTCATTGAATAAAGATAACATTTGAAATTTCTGCTTTGTGTAGCTTTTAAGATCCTGCCCATGTTTCTGGGTTTGTGTATTGACCTGTATGGCACTAGCAACTAAGTGCCGGGGGTGTGTGTGTGTGTTTGATGCTACTGTATCCCTCCCCCATCACAGTGTGATATGATCCAGACCAGCAAAGATTAGAACTGTCTCTGATTCAGTGTTCATCACTCCCAAAAACTTGTTCAGGAGTGCCCTCAGTGAAGGCTCCTCCTGTGTCCAAATGTACTTGGAAACTGTTTCCAGCTGTGACCTGCATGGCAGTTGCTGGCTTTTCGTACACCAGCATTTTTTTCTTCTTCGTGTACTTCTCAGTTCCTGAAACCAAATGGTGGCGGCTACATCTCCAGCACTTTCACATTTTTAAAACTACATTAATGGTAACAGGACTGTTAATTCAGTATGGAGTTTTCTGACCTGGTAAACAGATGAGGATTCAAATGCATCAACAGGGTTTGACTGAACACAACCCATTTCTCTTTTCTCAGAATGCCATTGCACCATGAGGACTCTAGAGTACACATAAGGTACACATCTATATATCTAATTCCCAGCGTGCGGATATCTAAATCCGCACATCAGGGGCACCTGGGGGGCAGGGAGATTTTCCTGCACATTTGAGGCAATCCCCAGATGTGCAGAAAAATCTAAAAAGTTGAAAAAAGTATACGGGGGATATTTAAATCCCCCCAAAAGTAAAAGAGTCTGACCCTCCGCATGCGCAGAGAAAGCACTTACCAACAAGAACTGTGGCTGCTGACTGCGCGGGAAGAGAAGCCTTGGCAGCTGGCGGCTGGGAGCCGTGGCTATTGCCGGGGGGGCCATTGCCGTCGCTGCTGGTGGCGGCAGTGGGGGAGGGAGAACAGCCGCACAGGGCTTGCCGCCTTTGCTGCTCGTGGCTGCGGGGGGGAACCTTGGAGGGCTGGTGGCTAGCTGCAGCCTTTGCAGGGGGGAAGATCCTGGCGAGCCCAACGGACCGCCTGCTGGGCTCACCTGCAGCCACTGCCGCGTCCTCTGTGTGGAGCTCCTGCTGCTTCAGCAGGCGAGCCACCCGGGAGCCACGGGGAATACCTCCCCCCGCGAGTATCACGGGTCCCGCCTCTTGTTCAGTATATTGGTCAAAACACAGGGAAGCTGGTAAGTGACCTGATTGAGAAAAATAAGAGTCCAGTGAGACTCTGAAGACTAACATTTCAGTATGAGCTTTCTTAAGTCACAGCCCACTTCCTCAGATATGTGCACACTAGAGATGTGAAGGCCCGGAAAAACCCCGGTTTTTTTCCTGAAGATTTTTGGGTTTTTTTCCGAAAAATTGGAAAAATTGAAAAAAGAAAAAAATGATTATGGAACATTTTATTTTAACATGATAAATAAAATATTTTAAGACAAGGTGTTCAAATATTTTCCAAATCATTTCTAAAATATATATACATGGTATCAGATTGATCTAATTTCTGTGCACTGAGGACAAGCAAGTCCTAGTTACAAACTGAACTCTCCAATGCAAGAACAAGATGCATTTCTTCCTTTAGAAGGTGCTATTGTCAGAAGAAAATAAAAAGGTTTCAGTTTTGTTTTTGCATGTGGGTGGGTATTCTGTTTGTAATAATTGTTTGGATACACTATATTTTTAATATGCTAGTTGTGATAATTTCATGCCAAATAAAAATGTCCATAGTCATATTTTATGTTCCTAAAGTAACAGAATGACTTTCAATCTAGAAAAGACAAAAGAAATGCTAATGTAGCATTTTTTCAATTTTTCCGAAAATTTCCGTTTTTTCCCGAAAAAAACCGGGTTTTTTCCGAGCTTCAAAATTTCCGGAAATTTTACATCTCTAGTGCACACTAATGTCTTTAGTCTTTAAGGAGCCCTTTTTAATTTTCCTTGAACCCCCTGAGAAAGCTTAAAAGCTGCTCATTACTAATTATTTTCAGCTATGTGATAGTAATTCAAATCACCCATTAAACTATCATCTTAGGTTGGTCACAGGTAACCATCTTGCTCTCCATTTCCTATCTGCACATCAGGAATATTACAGCCTATTAAAAGGTAGGTATTGGTTACTTTTGCACAGCAGTACTATGCATCTGTCAGATTGCACTAGCATGGCAAAAGGAAAGGATATGGTTTTCGGTTTTAAACTAACCGGTGAATTCTGTTACTTTACTGGTACCTACTGCTATACCCATTTCTTCAGAGTTCGTGTTTTTGAGAGCCACTGAACTGTCAGAAACATGTTACCTTGCTTCTCAACCAAAAAAAAAAAAGTTGACTCTTCAAGTGGCTTGAGTGCAATTATGTAAAATATAAGTACCAAGGATTTTGTTTCTTTAATTTGTTTTAGTGACGTACTGCATTTCTTCCTCCGACACTACTTCTGGGAGTGCTGACAGTTGGTTCCAGGAACAATGGAAGGTTTCTTAGTTGCTGGCAGAGTTGAATAGTGCCTCCCCATTACCCAGTTTTATTATTTTTATCTGCAGATTAAGAGTGGCACTTGGATACAGTATCACAGGTAAGGAGGGTCAAGTAGCAGTTCATGTTTTCCCTGCTTTCTCCCTGGCGTACACAGCCATATGCTACAGGTCTTGGAATGCCATCTTGTCAGGACTTGTCACCTATTTTACTCTGGCATTTCCCCAATGCATTGCAGAATATTACAACAGTTCCACAATGTCTATTTTCATACACTTAAGGGTTGCCATTAAGTCACACTATAGTTCAATGGTGTCAGTTCAATTTGGTAAGACTGTCTTTCTGCCACCCATTTCGTTGCTGGGCACAGCCATTTCCCATCAGTGAGGAACACCACAAATCAAGCAGGGATAAGCAATCTTTTTTTCTACAAGAGAAACCACTATACCCTCAGATGCCCAACAATTATTTTACTTATAACAGTTTCCATTATTCCAGGGGTAAAGTGCTATGGGAGCAGATATGGCTGAAAACCAAAGCAGAATGATAAAAGAACTCCATATGAGTCCCTAACTGCTCCAGTAGTTAACTACACTTCCGGACAGGGAGAGGTGACATTATGTAATATGTTCTCACCTCAGGACCCATCTCTAAGTACCCCCCCCCCCATGCTTAGTGTCAGGTACTTACAATAGTGATTGAATAAAGAAGCTACTCCCATGGTAGCTGTTGCTTTAAGAGCCACTATGGAAACAAACAAATCATAAATGAGTTTATTTTTCAAGTAATCTTTTTCCATCATGGACTATCATTTACAGTAACATGATGTGTGCTCTTTGGCTACTTAATTTCATCTCTTACTTGGCAGTTGTAAGATGGTGTGCTTTAAACCATTACCAAATTTAAGAGCCTGTTGAATTGCTTTGGGAAAGATTTGTCATCTCAAACCACCGATCCATTCCTTAAAGTTCCATAGCTGATACTTATACTGTAAACTAGTTGAGTACCAAGTTACTGCAGCAAAGTCTTAACAGCCGAGTTTGAAATCAAGAGTAAGGAACATAAGGTCAGATTATTCAAACTACTCAACAAACGCAAAAGTCAATTATAGCACTGGCTGAGCAAGACATACAGGGAGAGTCTACATCTAATTAAGACACAAATATTATTTCCCCAAGTCATTGGGAATTAACAGATAAGAAAACAAACTGAATGGCAATAATTTACTTCTAATCATATTTTTACCTAAATTCAGTCAGTTACATCTAATGTATTTATTTTTTCCACGTTACATTTTTCAGTTACTAAAAAGATGAGGAACATAGTGAGATACTTTAATTTTGAAATGCAGATCATTTGGGGGGATCATAATATAAAACAGGTTTGGATCGAGTAAACAACTAGATGGACTACATGTTGAAAGCATTATATTCCAAATCAGTATACTCCATAGTAAAATATCCTGATTCTCTCCCAGCACCCCCAAGTCGGTTTCAAGCCACCAATTCTTGACTGTTAGTCACATGACTAGCTCACAGTTCTGATGTTTGATTGTGGAATCATGTGCTTGGCAAAGAGTTCTCTCCAATACTTTACACTGGACAGTCTGTAAGGCATTAAGTGCTAGTCACACAACAGCAGCAATTCATCCATCCAGAATGACGATCAGTGGTGGTGAAGAGATGGGAGTAGCAATCCCAGTAGTATTTCAAGAGGTGGACCTCAGTTTGCTTGAGGCAGAACACACTGTATGAGCATCCCGTGTAAAAAAAAGTATATATAGATATGTGGGGATTTCCCATCACGGTATATTCAGTGTGTCCCAAATTGTTACTATAGGAGTTGCAGCATCTCATCTTCAGTGCTCATTTCACTACAGCTGTACATTATATACAGAAGACAAAGGACAGGTTTGTTGCTCCTAGTCCTCATTCTTCCAAGGAAATGGGAAAACATCTCTTTAAAAACCAGCATCTGGGCTTATAAATAGTGCAGAGAATGCAAATGCTAAGAAAACAATTCCTCCTATGATTGTCACTGCAAGAGAGGAAAAGAAGGTTGTTAGATCCTCATAACAGTAAGTGTCAGGATTCTAGTCCCATTCTGGAGCTTCCTTGAAATCCCTTCTACGACGTTTATTGTGCCTGTTGGCCGTCTACAAGCAACTTTCTGAGTTTTTGCAGCATCTTGCCAAATTCTTCTCTTTATTCCTCCACCATCTTGGCTGCCATGAGACAGGCAACTCCAATAAAACCAATGGCACCAATCATGTCCAGAGGCAAGAAGCCCCACAAATGACGGTGTGCTTATTCACAAGTAGATCAACTGTTAAAATCTGGATACAACCCCTTGATGTCTGCCTTTGGGAGACCAGGCTGGCTACCTCTTCAGTTTAGAGCTAAGCTGTGATACTACATTAATGGAGCAGCATGATACTGCCCATGTGGCTCCATTCTCGTGCAATTATCACGGAGCCTCACATGAGAAAACAAAATGTACAGATCTGTTCAAATGACTACCATGCCACTCTTGCAATCATCAGATTAGATTCTAGTCAGATTGCAAGAATTCTCCTGGAGGGGCAGGGAACCAACTTAAGTATGATGATACTAGCAGCAGGCAGGCTGCATGTTAGTCCCAGCTTGTGCATGTGTAAACTCAAGTATGCACAGATGTATGCATTCTTGAGTATACACGCAGAGTCCCCCCCCAATAGCTTTTACCCCCCTTTGTTATCCAGTTCCTGACCCATATATTACACGTTCCCATTTATCAAAGAGACATGTCACAAGGAAGACTTTAGCCTAAGCAAGCTGGTCTCTAAAGTTTAGTGACTTGCACTGTTCATAATGGTTGCAACAATTAGCCAAGCTGCCCTCCTACACTTACCAGTCCGAACAGAGATTTTTTGTGCTATCATTCTTCCTCCAATCACTGCTAGACCAGTGCATAAACTATGTCCAAATGTCCCACCAACTGCCACACCATAGGGATCCTGTGCAAATATACATCAATATTCAGTTCTGTGTGAAAGCTACAGACCTCAAAAGCAGTTTCTTGTGGAGAGGGATATTAATACTTTCAGAAGACATGAACAGGCAAAACTAACACGTAGAGCATATCGCCAACCACAGCAAAAGTTAGGACTGATCAGAAGGTGCTCTCACTGGGCAGCTACCTCTTCGTAGGAAAGCAAGAGAGTGCAACAGTTTTAGGGAGGGGTGAGAGTACCAGGGAGGTAACGGGACATAACCAATTTTTTTTTGCAACACAGTTTAACAACAGAATGGAAGCACTGTGTTAGGGTTTCACTGATTACTAGGATCTAGTTTGGAAAGCGATCTGGACTAGCCACCACGTGTTCAGAAGCCTCCAGGTGACACTAACAACACCTGTCTGAATTGACAGGTGAGTCATCTGAGACTACCCTTTCAACCAACTCTGCATTAGGCTTCTTGCAAAATCAGAGAGGAACAAAACCCCCAAACTCCCGTATTCCGCAGAATAAACAAGCGAGCGAGCGTTTGTGCACGGCAGTGCAGAGGGGACTGGAAGAGGGCTCTCCCGCAGGTAGCTGCAGCCAACAAATGCTGCTACAGTCACCTACAGGCCTCTGGATACGTTGCAGATTTTTCGAGAACGGCTGTAATCTAGAGCAAGGGTTTACAAACCCAGGATTAAAGAAAGGCTCTTTCCATGTCGGATAATGCAGATTCCTTTGGTATTCCCGGAAACGCAATACAGAAAGGGTGGTATGTGCATTTGTCAGAACTACCATGGTGAACTTCTGTGGGTGCATTTTAGTAGTTACGAGATCAGAAGCAACCCTCAGAGATCGGAATTCAGTTTCCCCAGCATCCACTGCATGCCAAAAAATAGTGGCAGCTTTCTGGCAGGGAGACAGCTATGTGCTCAACCTAAAAATAATTTGAACATGTAAAAAACTGTATGGAATGCGAGGCAGTAAAACAAGTTCCAAGGAAAGGTAAAGTTACGGAATCTGTATGTATACAGTGGGCTACGCAACCCTGTCTCCTATAGTTTACTCAAGAGAAGGGGTAGAATGGACTCCCAAGTTGCACTGGAATGCCTTCCGTGCATGATGGCCACTTGACTTCCTGGAATTCAAACTAAACTGCTACAACTCCTGCATAAATATACTCCTCTGCAGGTGTGGCGCTGCAGTGCCTTAGGCTTCTCTTTGACTATATTCATTCAAGAGACAACGCAGAGGCACCCTTTACAACTGATTTATTGTGTCTCCCACATTTCTTCCTTCACGGAAGAAGGCTGCACACACAGGTCTCCCACGCAGGCACTCCCCAGACCTGCTTCGTATCATCAAGTCTGTTACTTCTAACCGCTACCCTAACGGCACCTGGGACCCTTTTGAAGAGTCTTCCGTCCTGCCCACCCCAGTTTCGATGACTGCTAAAGGCAGCCACGCTCTTGCAGCTGCATCTTATTTGCCTGAAGCCTGGAGGCAGACTTTATATCCTACCAAACATGTGCTGCAGCAGAGCATTTAAAAGTGGACTCAATAGCAACCCAGGCACAAGAGAGCCAACAGGGCCCGTTCAGACTCCATTTTTTGTCTGACTTACATTATTTATAGTCAGCCTGTCTCACTGGGAGGAGGAGATTGGATTTATACCCCGCCCTTCACTACCCAAAGGAGTCCCTTCCCCTCCCCACAACAGACACCCTGCGAGGTAGGTGGGGCTGAGAGAACTCTTGACAGAAACGGCTCTTTTTCAAGAACAGCTGTGCCAGAGCTTGTGACTGACCCAAGGTCATCCAGCCAGGTGCAAGTGGAGGAGTGGGGAGTCAAACCTGGTTCTCCCAGATTAGAGTCCACGCACTTACCCCCTACACCAAACTGGCTCACTGGGACTTAAGGCAAATTACACAGAGTATATCAATACAATAAACAGGATGGGACGTTCAATAAAAATGCAATAGGATTTGGACAGCAGAAATCTGGAGCCAAGTAGAAATCTGAACAGAGCTTAAACAAAGCATAAGTATTATTGTGACAAGCAGAATAATGTAAAAAAAAATAAAATAAATAGCAGCAACAGACTGTAAGGATTATAGATACCCTTTACCAAAACATTTTTCTGAAACATTTCATTAAGTACAGCTCTATTAACGGTATTAAAAAAGCCCTCTTTATAAAGAGCCAGCTTGATGTAGTGGTTAAGAGCAGTGGACTGTAATCTGGAGGACTGGGTTTGATTCCCCACGCCTCCTTCACATGAAGCCTGCTGGGTGTTCTTGGGGGCCCGTCCCAGTTCTCTCAGAGCTCTCTCAGCCCCACCTCCCTTACAAGATGACTATTGTGGGGAGAGGAAGGGAAGGCGATTGTAAGCCGCTCCAAGATTTCTTCAGGTAGTGAAGAGCAGGTATAAAACTAACTCCTCGTCTTCTCTTGAATAATTCAGTTTTGCAGAGTTTGCAGAAAGCCTGCAGGGTGGGAGTCTTCCTGACCTCCTCAGGCAGGCCATTCCATAAGGTGGGGGCAATAACGGAGAAGGCATGCGCACGGGTAGCTGTGAATTCTGCTCATCTGCAAGGTGGCACCTGCAGACGGTACTTCCTACGTTTAGGCAATTTAACTGTGAATTGGACCTTGACACTTTTCTTCTTTGAATACATGCATTTCTTACACGTTTCACTTACCTCTCTTGCTGCCAGAACTATTGTAGTTAGTTGAGAGCGGTCTCCCCATTCTGCTAAGAAGGTTAAAGTGAAAGCTTGCACAAAAATTGGAGAAATAAAATGCAGCCATTTCTTCTGAGGCAAGGTGGGGCCTGCTCCCGTTTCCACATCACTGGGCCCATTCAACAACTTTGTTCTCTGGAGCTAGAAAGAAAAGGCAGAGGCCAGAGTGTTAAAACCAACATCCTTTCCTTCACTGTATCTGAAGAAGTGTGCTTGCACACAAAAGCTTATATCTGGAATCAAACTTTCTTGGTCTTAAAGGTACCACTGGACTCAAATGTTGTTCTACTGCTTCAGACCAACACGGATACCCACCTGCATCTATCCTTTCCTCCTAGTAGGCACCACACATCAATATATCTAATTTGTAACATAGCCAGATCTGTGAATACTTAAATCCAGAGACTGGAGCCATAAACAGCCAAGACAGTTCCACAAACCTGAGAAAAGCAGACAAACCTGAACTCTTTAAAAAAAATAAAATAAACTGGGCTGTTAAAAGCTCTCTAAGTAACAGAAGCAGCACCTATAGCTTTAAGAAATAAATGCTCTCAGCGGCCATCGCCAAGCTGCAACAATACTGCCATCCTTCAAATCTTGGTTTCTGACAGTAAAAAGCAGGGGCGGGGTGCAGGACCCTTTTCAGGACTGTTTTGGCCTTTGAGCAAGAACTCATCAGGGCCAGGGCCAGCAGCAACCACCAGGCAACTGGCTTCCACATGACTGCCTGACTCCCCAGGACTGGCTGCTTGTTATAGGCCCCGGTCACACGGGCCGGATATTGCGGGGGGGAGGCCCCGCAGCGAAATAACGTGCGACAGCGCAATCAGGCGTCCCCTCGCGATCCTGTCGAGGTCCCGTGGTTAGGGGGGAGGTGCCGATCACACGATGCGCCAAAGAAGCAGCGTGGCACGGCAAACGGGGTTGTGGGGTTTTTTAACCTGAAGTATGCGCATGCCCCGTTGGGTGCTTGTGCGCATCCCTGGAGACTTCGGGGGGGAGGGGGAAAGCCTTTTCGCAATGGGGCATGGGCGGGCGTCGGATGCCACCGGAAACGCGATCAGACGCCTGCCTTTGCCCCGCGGTTCCCGGAAACTAGTACCTCCGAGGTACTAGTTTTTAACCGCGCATCTTCGGAGGGAAGCCTCGGGTTCGCCACGGGAGCGCTACTCTTCCCAGATGTGGCGGTGAGATTGCGCCCGTAAAATCCGCCTATCTTCTGTCGCCCTAGCGTGGCTACTGCTCCATGTGACCGCAGCCATCGTTCAACAGCAACCACCTCATGCAGGCTGCTTTGGTGCAGTGGTTAGAATGCCAGACTATGTTCTGAAGACCCAGGTTCAGATCCCTACTCTGACATGGAAGCTCACTGGGTGACCTTGGCCCAGTTATACATTCTCAGACTAACCTACCTTGCAGGGTTGTTGTGAGGATAAAATTAAGAACAATGTAAGTTGCTTTAAGCCTCCACTATGGAAAAAAGTGGGTATAAACGATTAATAAATATAGCTGAAGATGGGGGGTTGGTAGGTGTGCGGGGAAGGAGAGAAGGAAGCAGGGAAAAG